TCCCTGTCTTCCCTGTGTCGAGGGGCGGCAGCGCGCCGCTCCTCACTCCTCCTCGTTCCCTCCCACAGAGGCTCCCCTGCAGACTCTCCACCTGGACGTGTGGGGCCCAGCCCACGTCCGTGGACAGGGCCACGAGCGGTACTTCCTGCTGGTCGTCGACGACTACACGCGTTACACCACGGTCCCTGATGTTTTGATCCCTTGGATCCGCGCTGCCCGTCTCCAGCTCCGCGAGCGGTTCGGGACGGAGTTTCCCGTCCTGCGTCTGCACTCTGACAGAGGTGGTGAGTTCTCCTCAGACCTCTTGGCAGCCTTCTGTGCGGAGCACGGCATCCGTCAGACGTTCACGCTTCCGGCCTCTCCGCAGCAAAATGGGGTTGCTGAGCGCCGCATTGGCTTAGTCATGGAGGTCACTCGTACCTCCATGATCCATGCGGCTGCCCCCCATTTTCTGTGGCCGTTTGCGGTCCGGTACGCTGCGCATCAGCTCAACCTCTGGCCCCGTGTCTCCTTACCGGAGACCTCGCCCACGCTGCTGTGGACGGGGAAGGTTGGCGATGCGTCGCGTTTCCGGGTCTGGGGTGCTCGTGCCTTTGTCCGCGATACCACCGCGGACAAGCTCTCCGCCCGCGCTGTTCCCTGTGTCTTCCTTGGCTTTGTCCCTGACGCGCCTGGTTGGCAGTTTTACCACCCCACCTCGTGCCGTGTCTTCCCCTCTCAGGACGTCACGTTCGACGAGTCGGTTCCCTTTTACCGTCTCTTTCCCTACCGCACTGCCCCTCGCCCCCCCCCCGCCGCTCTTTCTCGCTCCAGGTGCTCCCCAGGTAGACCCCCTCCCCGCTCCCGGTCTTGCTCCTTCAGGTGTGTCTCGGGTTGACCCTCCTCCCTTGACTGTGCCGGTTGAGGTCACTGGTGGCTCAGGTCCTGCTGCAGATGGTCCTGCTCGGGGTACTACTTCTGGGGGTGCTGAGCCTGGGGGTGCTGAGCCTGGGGGTGCGGAGTCTGGGGGTGCTGAGCCTGGGGGTGCTGCTTCTGGGGGTGCTGAGCCTGGGGGTGCGGAGCCCGAGGGTGCCGAGCCTGGAGGTGCTGAGCCTGAGTGTGAGGAGTCTGGGGGTGCTGAGCTTGGGGGTACTGCGTCTAGGGGTGCTGCACCTGGGGGCGCTGAGGCGTCTGGTGAGCAGTCTCCCTGGAGCGGCCGTCTCCGTAGTCGCTCCGCTGGTGCCTCGCCGCTGCACTCTCGTCGTCTACTCCCTCTCTCCCCACAGCAGCTGCGTGAGTGGTACGTTGGCCGTCAGGGTCGCGCTGCTGGAGCTAGGGGCCCTGCTGCTGGAGGTTCTGGAGCTGCTGAGGGTGCTGGCGCTGGAGGTTCGGGAGCTGCTGGAGGGCCTGGTACTGGTGGCGCTGGAGCTGGAGGTTCTGGAGCTGCTGAGGGTGCTGGCGCTGGAGGTTCTAGAGCTGCTACGGGTGCTGGAGCTGGAGGTTCTGGAGCTGCTGCGGGTGCTGGCGCTGCGGGTTCTTAGTCTGCTGTTACGCGGTCTCCTTGGAGTAGCCGCCTTCGTCCGCGTGTGCCGCTCACGTCACAGCAGCTCCACGACTGGTACGGTCGCCGTCAGGGTCGCGCTTCTGGAGCTCGGAGTTCTGCCGCTGGAGGTGCTGCTGCTGACGTTGCTGGAGCTGGGAGTGGTACTGGTCCTCTGTCTACTAGTGGTGCTGGAGTTGCTGGTCCCGAAGGTGCTCGTACTGGAGGTACTGGAGCTGCTGGGGCTGGAGGTGCTGAGCCTGCGGGTGCTACTGCTGGAGACCCTGGGTCTGGGGGTGCTGCTGCTGGTGGAGCTGGTCCTGGAGGTACTGGCGCAGGGAAATCTGGAGCTGCTGGAGGTACTGGAGCTGCTGGTGCTGGTGGCGCTGCACCCCCGCGACTGTTCTTCCACAGTCTCCGTCGTCTCAGCCACCGCCTGACACTGTACTTAGTCAGGTTCTCAGCCTCCCGTCTTCTACTGGTCTTTCGTTACAGCCTGGCTCACCGCTGCCTGCTCCTTCCCCTTACACTGAGCAGGCAGGAGGTCTTGCTGAGCGTCGTGAGCCTGCGTCGCATCCTGTCTTGCCTGTCCGTTCTGGTCGTACCAGTCGTCGTGTTCCTCGTCCGCGTTCGCCGGCTGTCCCCAGCGCGCACCTCATCATCCGTCGTCCTTTCTCTGCTCCGCAGTCTGTTCCTCTGCCGTCTCCTCCTGCGTCCTCTCTGCCTGACGTTCCGAACCCTGAGTCTGACCGGTTTCGTGCTGAGCACCCTACTGTCACGCGTCTGTTAGCCACTGTTGTCACCGACCCGTCGTTTGAGTCTTCTGCTGCGTCTGCCTTGGTCGTTGAGCTTGTCGACTTTGCTGCTGCCTGTCGTCTAGACTACGCTGCCGGTCTAGTTGCTGAGTCTGAGTCTGTCTGTCCTCCGTCCGTCGAGGGTGAGTGTGCTCTTGGCACGAACGTCCTTGAGGACAGGCAGGAGGAGCTCGACTGTCTTGCGGCTGCTGTACCTCATCTCGTGGCCTGGCTGCTTGCCCCTGAGGGAGACCCGGATGCACCAAACATCCCGACCCCGCGCTCTTACGCAGAGGCAATCTCGGGTCCCTACTCCTCTCAGTGGCAGACAACCATGGACGCAGAGATGGCATCCTGGAAGTCCACAGGCACCTACGTCGACAAGGTTCCCCCTCCTGGGGCGAACATCGTTGATGGCATGTGGATTTTCAGGGTGAAGCGGCCGCCGGGTTCTCCGCCTGTCTTCAAGGCTCGTTACGTTGCACGAGGCTTCAGTCAGCGACAAGGAGTTGACTTCTTCCAGACCTTCTCCCCTACCCCGAAGATGACCACTCTTCGGGTGGTGCTGCACGTTGCCGCTCAGCGTGACTACGAGCTTCACTCTCTTGACTTCAGCACAGCGTTCTTGCAGGGCAGCCTGCACGAGGAGATCTGGCTGCGCCGCCCTCCTGGCTTCACTGGGTCGTTCCCTCCCGGTACCCAGTGGAGCCTCCGGCGCCCAGTCTACGGTCTCCGCCAGGCACCTCGTGAGTGGCACGACACACTGAGGACGACTCTTGCGGCACTTGGGTTTGCTCCTTCGACTGCAGACCCGTCACTGTTCCTCCGCACCAACACGTCCCTGCCGCCGTTCGACATCCTCATATACGTTGACGACCTGGTCTTTGCTACTGCTGACACTGAGGCACTCGCTCTTGTGAAGTCGGAGCTGCAGATGAGACACACGTGCATAGACCTGGGTGAGCTGCGCTTCTACCTTGGCTTGCAGATCACTCGGGACAGAGCACGCCGCACCATCACTATGACTCAGTCACACATGGTGCAGCAGGTCCTTCAGCGCTTCGGCTTCACCTGGTCCTCGCCACAGTCCACTCCTCTGGCTACAGGTCACTCGCTCTCAGCTCCACCTTCGGATGAGTCCGTAGAGCTGAGTGGTCCTTACCCAGAGTTAGTGGGCTGCCTCATGTACCTGATGACCTGCACTCGTCCTGACCTTGCGTACCCTCTTGGCCTTCTGGCCCGTTACGTGGCTCCTGGTCGACACCGAAAGGTGCACTGGGATGCTGCGAAGAGGGTACTGCGCTACTTGTGCAGTACGTCGGGCATGGGGCTCGTGCTTGGAGGGCGGAGAGACGTGGTTCTCACTGGGCACTCGGACGCTTCTTGGGTTGACGACCAGGCTACACAGCGGTCGTCACAGGGTTACACTTTCAGCCTTGGCTCCGGTTCTGTTTCTTGGCGTTCTACTCGTTCGTCTTCTGTTCTCAGCTCCAGCTGTGAGGCTGAGATCTACGCCACAGCCATGGCTGCACAGGAGTTACGCTGGCTCACTTACCTGCTGACTGACCTGGGAGAGCGGCCTCGTTCTCCTCTAGTGCTGTACGTCGACAACAAGGCCGCCATTGCCTTGTGTGAGGAGCACAGACTGGAGCACAGAACGAAGCACATCGCTCTGCGTTACTTCCTGGCTCGAGAGCTGCAGCAGCGGGGTCAGCTTCGCCTTGCTCACGTGGCCACCCGGGCCAACACTGCTGATATATTCACCAAGGCGCTTTCGTCTGGTGATCATCAGCGCTTTTGTACCCTGTTAGGCCTTGTGCCTACGTTTCCACACTTGCTGTAGACTCTGCTTGTACTGTGATCTCTAAATATATACCTGCATGCTTGCTCTTGCTAGGTAGAGATCACTGTGCTGTTCTTGTTGCATATATACTTCTGCATGTGAACTGGTCTTCTGACCCTTCTTTGCTTGTGCTCAGAGTGTGTGGTGACGTTGTGATCCACCTGTCAAACATTATTCTTGTGTTGTTGTTGTGTAGGCTACAGTGGGTTAGCCTTTAGGGGGTACACAATTCTAGGGTTTTGTATTTGTACTCCCATCTTCTCATAGTGCACACACTTCTCTCATTCTGACATGGTATTACGAGCCTAGGTTAGGAACCTAGGACCGATCGATCTACGGGCCCACCGTTCCGTCAGTAGTGCCCTCGTGCACCTTCTCGTTCTTGCGCCCTCGTGCGCCTCGCCTCTAGGGCGCCCTCGAGTGCCCCGCTGTTAGGCCGCGTCGCACGCTAGCTGCCTGCGCGCGGCCCGTTTTTTGCCCGCGCAGCCCGCTAGCCGCCCGTGCGCGGCCTGTTTCTGACGCGCGCGACCCAGCAGCCGCCCGCACCGCCGCAGCCGCCCACGAGCAGCCCGCTAGCCGCCCGTAGGCCGCCGCGTCGCTGCTGTAGACCGCCGCCCGCGCGCAACTGCAGCCCGCGCACAGCCGCCGCAGCCGCCCAGGCCCGCCGTCGCCGCGTCACTGAGCCGCGCCGCCCTGACTGAGCCGCGCCGCCTGGACCGAGCCGCGCCGCCCTGACCGAGCCGCGCCGCCCTGCTGTGCCCCACCTGCAGCATTTTCTGTTCCTGCTACTGCTCCTACTGCTACTGGTCCTGCTGCTACTGTTCCTCCTCCTGCTACTGCTACTATGGCCAGTCCTACTGTGCTTACCTTTGACGCTGAGGGTCGTCCTATTAAGTTCGATGTTTGGCTCGATGACCTTCACCTCTACCTTCAGATCACCGCCAAGGACGATATTTCTCTTTATGACCACACGTCCGGCGCCGCTCCCGCTCCTGCTGCCGATGCTGATAGCACCTTGCGCTCGCAGTGGCAGACCCGTGACGCTCACGCTCGCCTAGCCGTTCGCAGCCACCTGCCGTTAGATGAGCGCGAGCATTTTGGCCAGCATAAGACCGCCAAGGAACTGTACGACGCCGTAGTCGCGCGCTACTCCTCCCCTGCCACTGCTACTATAGGCCGTCTCTCACTGCCCTACCTCTTTCCCGACCTGTCCGCCTTTGCCACTGTCGCTGACCTCATCACCCACCTCCGTACCAATGACCTCCGCTACCGTGCCGCCCTCCCCCCCGATTTCCTCGCCAAGACCCCCCCCCCCCCGATGTACCTCACACTGTACCACCTTGTCACCCGCCTCCCTGACTCCCTTCGCACTGTCAGGGACCAGTTTCTCGCTCTCTCCCCCACTGACCTCACTGTCGACCTCCTCGAGAAGGAACTCCTAGCAGCTGAGAAGAGTATTGTAGCTGTAGGTGCCTCTCGTGGTGACCCCCGCACCCCCTTCTTTGAGGGGTGCTCCCCCTCCCCCCTCCTCCCCTCCATTGCATCTGCTGCTGCTGTCGACTACCTCGGTGCTGAGGGAGTCGGGACTGCGTCTGCTCCCGGTGGGAGGCGCAAGAGCGGCAAGGGCAAGGGGGGCAGGGGTGGTGGAGGTGGAGGTGGGGGTGGCGGCGGTGGAGGGGGTGGGGGGGGCGGGGGTGGTGGCGGAAGTGGGAGTGGCGCGGGTGGTGGGGGGGTCAGTGGCGGTGCAGGGGGTGGTGGCGACGGCGGCGGTGGTGGGGGTGGGGGTGGTGGAGGAGGTGGTGGCAGTAGTGGCGGTGGTGGAGCGGGTGGCGGGCGCGGTGGAGCGGTGCAGCGTGGGGGGTTCGGAGGTGGCCAGAGGCAGCCGCAGCAGCGTCCTGGCGAGACTCCCTCGCCCCAGCAGCTTCGTGAGTGGTACTCTCAGCGTGGGGGGTCTGGGGGTGGGGGCATTTGCTCGTACGTCATCCGCACAGGTGATCGCGCTGGCCAGACTTGTGGGAGGTTCCACCCGACACAGCGCTGCTTCTCTCGCCTCGATGACGCCCGGTGCGAGCAGTTCCCTGACGCCTCTGAGCTGCCTCGCTGGGCTGATCTGCTTAGGAAGGGGATTGATGTCTTTGCTCTTGATTATGATGCTATCCTTGCTGCCATGTATGCATTGACTATTAGTGCTGAGGGTGACTGTTACCTGAGTGTGCCGCCTGACCCAGGTATTGGTACTGGTATGGCTGCTGCGCTAGGTGCTAGTGCGTCTGCGTCTGCTGGTACTGAGTCTGCTACAGCACTGCACACCTTCACCCTGGACTCAGGTGCTTCACGCTGTTTCTTTCGTGACCGCACAGTCCTTGAGCCACTCGCTCGGCCTGTTGCTGTCTCCCTTGCTGACCCCTCTGGGGGCCCGGTCCTTGCGACCTCCTCCACTGTCCTCCCTTGTCCTGCGGCCCCGTCTGGCACTTTGTCGGGTCTTTACCTCCCCTCGTTCTCTACGAACTTGGTGGCGGGCTCTGCTCTCCAGGACGGGGGTGTTCACCAGTTCACCCCTGCCTATGAGCGAGTGACCCACTGTACGTGTGCTCGGACGGGTCGCCACCTGGCTACCTTCACTCGGCAGCCGGGGTCCGACCTGTACACACTGACCACTGAGTCCCCTCAGGTAGCTGCGTCTGCGTCTGCGTCAGGTCAGCTGTCGGCTCCCTGCTCGTGTCGCTCCCTGTCGCACCAGACCGTCCTCTGGCACCACCGCCTTGGTCACCCCTCCGTGCAGCGCCTTCGTGGCATGCACTCCCGTTACCTTGTCTCTGGTCTTCCCAGGGTTCTCCCTCCCCTCCCACCCTCGCCTGCTCCTCCCTGTCTTCCCTGTGTCGAGGGGCGGCAGCGCGCCACCCCTCACTCCTCCTCGTTCCCTCCCACAGAGGCTCCTCTGCAGACTCTCCACCTAGACGTGTGGGGCCCAGCCCGCGTCCGTGGACAGGACCACGAGCGGTACTTCCTGCTGGTCGTCGACGACTACACGCGCTACACCACGGTCTTCCCCTTGCGCACCAAGGGTGAGGTCCCTGATGTTTTGATCCCTTGGATCCGCGCTGCTCGTCTCCAGCTCCGCCAGCGGTTCCAGTCGGACTTTCCCGTCCTGCGTCTGCACTCTGACAGGGGTGGTGAGTTTTCCTCCGCCCTCCTGGCTGCCTACTGTGCGGAGCACGGCATCCGCCAGACTTTCACTCTTCCGGACTCCCCACAGCAGAATGGGGTTGCTGAGCGTCGCATTGGTTTAGTCATGGAGGTCGCTCGTACCTCCATGATCCATGCGGCTGCCCCCCATTTCCTGTGGCCGTTTGCAGTGCGGTACGCTGCGCATCAGCTCAACCTTTGGCCCCGTGTCTCTGCTCCGGAGACCTCGCCCACACTGCGTTGGACGGGGGAGGTTGGCGATGCGTCGGTGTTCCGTGTCTGGGGATGCCGAGCCCTTGTTCGCGATACGTCTGCGGACAAGCTCTCCTCCCGTGCCGTTCCCTGCGTCTTCCTTGGCTTTGTCCCTGACGCGCCTGGCTGGCAGTTTTACCACCCCACCTCGCGTCGTGTCTTTGCCTCTCAGGACGTCACCTTTGACGAGTCGGTACCCTTTTACCGTCTCTTCCCCTACCGCACTGCCCCCCTCCCTCCCCCGCCGCTTTTCCTTGCTCCAGGTCCCCCTCCGCTAGACCCCCTTCCCCCTCAGGGTCCTGCTCCTTCAGGTGTCTCTCAGGTAGACCCTCCTCCCGTCGCTGAGCCTGTCGAGGTCACAGGTGACTCAGGTGCTGCTGCGGGTGGTACTGCTGGGGGTGCTGAGCCTGCGGGTGCGGAGCCTGGGGGTGCTGAGCCTGGGGGTGCTGACACTGGGGGTGCTGAGCCTGCGGGTGCGGAGCCTGGGGGTGCTGAGCCTGGTGGTGCGGAGCCTGGGGGTGCTGAGCCTGAGGGTGCTGGGCCTGGGAGTGCTGAGCCTGGGTTTGCTGAGCCTGGGGTTTCTGAGCCTGGAGGTTCTGGCGCTGCTGGTGCTACCACTGGAGCTGGAGGTCCTGGAGCTGCTACGGACACTGGCGCTGCGGGTTCTGAGTCTGCTGTTGCGCGGTCTCCTTGGAGTAGCCGCCTTCGTACGCGTGTGCCTCTCACCTCCCAGCAGCTGCGCGACTGGTACGGTCGCCGTCAGCGTCGCGCTCCTGTGGCTCGGGACCCTGCTCCTGGCGGTACTTCCACTGACGTCACTGGAGCTGCGGGTGGTGCTGGTTTGTTGTCTCCTGGGGGTGCCCACGTCGCTGGTCCCGGAGGTGCTCGTACCACTGGTACTCGAGCTGATGGGGCTGGTGGTGCTGTGTTTGAGGGTCCTCCTCCTGGGGACGTTGCGACTGGGGGTGCTGGTTCTGGAGGCGCTGCGGCTGGTGGAGACGGTCCTGGAGGAGTTGCTGCTGGGGGTGGTGGAGCTACTGGAGGTGCTGGAGCTGCTGGTGCTGGTGACACTACACAGACGCGCCTGTTCTTTGCTCCGCCGTCTTCGTCGTCTCTGCCACCTCCTGACTCTGTCCTTCACCAGGTTCTTCGTCAACCGTCTTCTACCGGTCTTCCCCTCCTGCCTGACTCACCGCTTCCTGCTCCTTCTCCTTACACTGAGCAGTCAGGAGGTCTTACTGAGCGTCGTGAGCCTGCGTCGCGTCCTGTCTCGCCAGTTCGTTCTAGTCGCACCATTCGTCGTGTCCCGCGTTCGCGTTCGCCGACTGTCCCCGGCACGCACCTTGTCGTCCGTCGTCCTTCCTCTGTTCCACAGTCTGTTCCTCTGCCGTCTCCTCCTGCGTCGTCTTTGCCTCACGTTCCGGACCCTGCGTCTGACCGGTTTCGTGCTGAGCACCCTACTGTCACGCGTCTGCTAGCCACTGTTGTCACTGACCCCTCGTTTGAGTCTTCTGCTGCGTCTGCCTTGGTCGCTGAGCTTGTTGACTTTGCTGCTGCCTGTCGTCTAGACTACGCTGCTAGCCTTGTTGCTGAGTCTGAGTCTGTCTGTCCTCCGTCCGTCGGGGGTGAGTGTGCTCTTGGCACGGACGTCCTTGAGGACAGGCACAAGGACCTTGAGTGTCTTGCAGCCGCTGCGCCTCATCTCGTGGCCATGCTGCTTGCCCCTGAGGGAGACCCGGATGCTATAGACATCCCTACCCCGCGATCTTACGCTGAGGCGATCGCGGGTCCCTACTCCTCTCAGTGGCAGGCAGCCATGGACGCAGAGATGGCATCCTGGAAGTCCACTGGCACTTACGTCGACGACGTTCCCCCTCCTGGGGCGAACATCGTCGATGGCATGTGGATTTTCAGGGTGAAGCGGCCGCCGGGTTCTCCGCCTGTCTTCAAGGCTCGTTACGTTGCTCGAGGCTTCAGTCAGCGAGAGGGAGTCGACTTCTTTCAGACCTTCTCCCCCCCCCGAAGATGACCACTCTTCGGGTACTGCTGCACGTTGCCGCTCAGCGTGACTACGAGCTTCACTCTCTTGACTTCAGCACAGCTTTCTTGCAGGGCAGTCTGCACGAGGAGATCTGGCTGCGCCGCCCACCTGGCTTCACTGGGTCGTTCCCTCCTTGTACCCAGTGGAGCCTCCGGCGGCCAGTCTACGGTCTCCGCCAGGCGCCACGTGAGTGGCACGACACACTGAGGACTACACTTGCGGCTCTTGGGTTCGCGCCTTCTACTGCTGACCCGTCGCTGTTTCTGCGCACCGACACTTCGCTGCCGCCGTTCTACATCCTCGTGTACGTCGACGACTTGGTCTTTGCCACTGCTGACACTGAGGCTCTCGCCCACGTGAAGTCCGAACTGCAAAAGAGACACACGTGCACAGACCTGGGTGAACTGCGCAGCTACCTTGGCTTGCAGATCACCCGGGACAGAGCACGCCGCACCATCACACTGACTCAGTCACACATGGTGCAGCAGGTCCTTCAGCACTTCGGCTTCACCTGGTCCTCAGCACAGGCCACTCCTCTGGCCATAGGTCACTCGCTCTCAGCTCTGCCTTCGGATGAGTCCGTAGAGCCGAGTGGTCCTTACCCAGAGCTAGTGGGCTGCCTCATGTACCTGATGACTTGCACTCGTCCTGACTTAGCGTACCCTCTTGGCCTTCTGGCCCGCTACGTGGCTCCTGGTAGGCACCGAAAGGTGCACTGGGATGCTGCGAAGAGGGTACTGTGCTACTTGTGCAGTACATCTGGCATGGGGCTCGTGCTTGGAGGAGGGAGCCCAGTTGTTCTCACTGGGCACTCAGACGCTTCTTGGGTTGACGACCAGGCTACTCAGCGGTCGTCCCAGGGTTATACCTTCAGTCTTGGGTCTGGGTCAGTTTCTTGGCGTTCTACACGTTCGTCTTCAGTTCTCAGCTCCAGTTGTGAGGCTGAGATCTACGCCACAGCCATGGCTGCTCAGGAGTTACGCTGGCTCACCTACCTGCTGACCGACCTGGGAGAGCGGCCTCGTTCTTCTCCAGTGCTGTACGTTGACAACAAGGCTGCCATTGCCTTGTGTGAGGAGCACAGACTGGAGCACAGAACGAAGCACATCGCTCTGCGGTACTTTCTGGCTCGAGAGTTGCAGCAACGTGGTCAGCTTCGTCTGCGTTACGTGGCCACTCAGGCCAACACTGCTGATATATTCACCAAGGCACTCCCGCCTAGTGATCATCAGCGCTTCTGCACTTTGTTGGGGCTTGTGCCCACTTTTCCTCACTTGCTGTAGACTTTGCGTGTACTGTGATCTATATATATATATATATACCTGCATGCTTGCTAGATATAGATCACTGTGATGCTTGTGTTACATATATGCCTCTGCATGTGAACTGGCCTTGTGGCTCTTTGCTTGTGCTCAGAGTGTGTGGTGACGTTGTGATCCACCCTGGGCTTGCTTGCCTTTCTTGACTGGTCTTGTGACCCCTTGCTCTCCCCCACTTTGCCTATGGGGGTGTGTCAAACATTATACTTGTGTTGTTGCTGTGTAGGCTACAGTGGGTTAGCCTTTAGGGGGTACACAATTCTAGGGTTTTGTATTTGTACTCCCATCTTCTCATAGTGCACACATTTCTCTCATTCTGACACCACCCTGAGCTTGCTTTGCTTTTCTTGACTGGTCTTGTGACCCCTTGTTCTCCCCCACTTTGCCTATGGGGGTGTGTCAAACTATATATGTTATACTTGTGTAGGCTGTAGTGGGGTAGCCAATATGTGGTACAACCCCTCTAGGGTTTGCTACTTGTACCCAACCTTCTTTCAATGCAATCATCCTTGCCAACAGTCACTGCATTTGTAGTACTTGGAGACTGCTTCTTGGTAGGCGTTAGAGATGTCCTGTATGAAACCGTTGTGATGGATACTTGACGAACCCAATGGAAAGGATAAAGATATCCGCCTATCTGGCAGTTCGGGATCTAAATACTGTTGGGCTGAGAAAAAGCCCTTAGGATCTTTTGCAGGGGTAAATTCGGGGTAGAACAATTGTAATAGCGGAAGCGTTTAATGAAGAAGTTGTGAACCACCTTGCGCTAGTGTGTGAGGGCAAAGTAAGTTGATTAAAGCAAAGGGATACAAGCATTATATATGAGTACAAGGAATATGAAAAGGATACAGTTATAACTACTTTACTGTTGCTGTTGCGGTTCGATACAGTGACGACTCGGGCAACTGCTCTGTAGCGAGTCAGTTGTGTGTCCTTGCTGTCGCGCTGTACTTGTCAGGTCAAAGGTCGCTGACCTTTGACTTTCGCGTAACCTCCAGCAACCTCTTTCAACCTCCGAGGGTTGACTCGCGTGTGCCTCAATATGGTTCGCCTCGCTTCTGGTGTGATGTTTCGACACGACAGAGGCGCTTTAGGATTTACTGTTTCCAACACTCCCCTTCGCTTCTGGAGTGTCGCTACTGATGTCGTGGCCTTGTCCAGTCAGCAGCATGCAGTACTCGAACTTCTGCTTTCCGAGCTTCTTGGTCAAATAGTCGGCTGCCATCTCGGACGTGGGACAGTAGGATAGTTCAAGTCTCCCCTTCTCGATCTCGTCTTTCACGAAGAAATATCGCAGGGCGATATGTTTCGTTCTGTTCGCGAATCCATTTTTGTTGGCGATGCGAATTGCAGATTGGTTGTCGCAGAATAGGGTGAAGTTGGGTAACTCGGCTAACTTCGCTTCTTCCAGCAGTTCGCGAAGGTAAAGTCCTTCCTTGGTGGCTGAGCAGAGTGCGATATATTCCGCTTCAGCTGATGAGAGGGCGATTAGTTCCTGCTTACTCGACTGCCAGGAGATAGGACCGATAGGCTCGAGGCGGTAGATGTAGCCGGTGCGGGATCGCCTATTGTCGGAATCGCCGGCGTGATCGGCATCGACATAACCGATTAGCTTAGTCGGTGTAGTTGCGTTCCTGTGATACGTTAGGCCGATCGTTGGAGTGCTGACGAAGTAGTGAAGAGCGCGGTCGAGCTCCGCCAGGTGTTCTGCTTCAGGCCTTTTGAGGTAGGTAGCGAGCTGGCTTGCGGAGTATGAGAGGTCGGGGCGGCAGGTGACAGCTGCGAAGAGGAGGCAGCCCAGCTTTCTCTGGTAGTCGCGTATGCCGGCGGGCTTCAGTAGAGTAGATCCTCCCTTGTCAGTTCCTGTCGTGTAACGGTATGGCGTGGAGATCGCGGTCGGTGTGAGAGCGAAGCGCTTGGCGATGGTGTCGGCGTACTTTTCGGCGCTGAGGTAGATTGCAGTTTCTTCTTCTCGGATATTGAGGCCGAGATACTGAGTGACGGTAGACGAGACAGTGAGTGTGAGGTCTCGTTGCAGCTCCCCTTCGAACCAGGTGGTGATGCCGTCGGACGAGCCGATGTAGAGGAGGTCGTCTACATAGACGATTAGTAGAATGTAGTCGGTGTTCTTTGTAAGTCGGTACATGCCCTGATCGTGCGGCAGTTGTTTGAAGCCGATGCGGACGAGGCGAGCGTGTAGATACTGTTGCCACAGTCGCGGAGCCTGTTTGATGCCGTAGAGCGACTTGAGCAGCTGGCAGACGTGTGTGGAGTCCGTGCTGGAGCCGTGCGGTAGTTCCACGAAAATC